GCGGTGAAGCTCATTTTCACCTCAAGATCACGAGGATGCGGTTTTGAAGCGGATATTTCAGGGTAAGTTATCCATAACATATAAAGGGGGGGGGGGGCTCGCAGTGCAGGAGAACAATGGCCCGGTCTGGACCGGGAAAGCCAACTAGTACTTGAATAAAATTCCACAGTCCAAGAATTAATTGTAAGAATTAGAGCAAGTGTGCCGAGTTATGCCCTTTGAGTTAATCTACATGTAGACCTCAATAAACAAATGACATTATAGCTTGTAAAAACCATTTTTTCAGCATTTTTGAGATATCAAATGTGAGATCCATTCAATGGATGCCGTTAAGAGCAGCATTCTTTCCTTTATGTAAAGCCAAATAGTAAAAGCTTTTGTTGTGTATTTTACAAGCGCATCGGAATTTATTAATTTTTGGCAAAGATGAATGCAAGTATTGAGGAGAGCTCTTAATCAGTAGTTTATTGGCACGGCAACGTTTCGATTTTTAAAATCGTCATTAGGCCTTGAATTACAATATTAGGTTGAACCGAAAGTTCTTTCGCACCAAATTTAAAAATTCATAACTTCTAAATTTTCCAACCGGTCGGACCGCCCTTATTTTTATATGAAAGAGCAAGTCATGGTCTTTATAACGACATCTTAGCTGCTTACTAATTGTCATCTGTTGATAGATAGGAGCGGCAGAAGAAAATTAGTCAAAATTTGAATTTTTCGTGTAGGGTCATAAAAAATCGGAAACTTGCAACAAAAATCGGAGCAGTCGCTATCGCAGGTCTTTTACCAGCTCCTTCTAACTGTGCAAAGTTTGCGCCGATTGAGCGTCTCTATGAAAAGTTACAATTTTCGAGCAAGCAATAGAAAAGGGCGAATTTGATTTATTTTGCCATTTTTTAGAGATCATAACTTTTCATAGAGACGCTCAATCGGCGACTTTGCACTGTTTGAAAGAGCTGGTGAAATAACCTACAATAATGACTGCTTCGATTTTTGTTGCAAGTTTCCGATTTTTTATGACCCTACACAGAAAATTCAAATTTTGACTAGATCTCTTCTAACGCTCCTATCTATGCAACAGATGACCATTTGCGAGTACCTAAGATCATGACTTATAATAAAGTGTGTGTGTGTGTGTGTGTGTGTGTGTGTGTGTGTGTGTGTGTGTGTGTGTGTGTGTGTTTATGTCTGTCTGTCACGAAATTCATAGAGCGTTTTGTAGGCAAGGTCTTGAGCTGAAATTTTGGTCATAGCACCCTACCAGCATGCAGGTAAAAAGTGCAAAAGCACAAGTTGACCCGGTATTTGCGTCAAACGGGCCCACGCGGCTTTTGGCACGCAAAACTAGGTCATTAATTCGATTTTTTGCGAAGTCATGATTTGCCTGACAGTACATTTGCGCCTCATGAATTCTAGCCCAAAAAATGCATAAAAAGATTGCTTTTCTGCGACAACAGCGCCAGGAAGTGGAGATCGCTTAGACGGTCAATTTGGCAAGGTTTCCTTCAGACTTGGAAAGATTTTTGCACGGAAATTCAGCTCAAAGCGACTGTTATCCTTATAACGACTACCAAGCCAGAACAAATTCAGTAATCTAATCAAATTCGCAGGTGTTCCTTTGCGACAAGTTTTTTTCTCTCAAAATTACCGATCTTACATGGAGATGCTTCAAGAATGTACAGTTGTTTACTATTCATTTGTGATGTTCAGCATCGCATGGTGGGTTTCAAAGTCATCATGATGCGAACATGAGAAAGGCAAACGGATAGGAGAGCCAGTGCGAACCTCCGCGAAGCGGAGGTGACACACTGGTGTCATTATAAAGAGCATGACTTCTTTCACACAAAAATAAAAGCAGTCAAATCGGTTGGAAATTTTAGAAGTTATGAATTTTTGAATTTTGCGAAAGAACTTTCGATTCAATCTAATATATAAATATATTAGGTTGTGTAATAAGCTCGTTCGCATTTTTTGTTTCAATTTTTTCTCAGTATATTACAAGACATTTGGCATAGCGTTAGTATGCATTCGGAAGCTCTAAGTCTACTCTACCAAAATATTATTATTATATTCCCAGTTTATAAAAAGTTGAATAGAAAAATCCACTGCAAACCGAAAAATCTGAAATGGTGAAAATCCCATTTTCGACAGCTATATCATGCCGCACCTTGAATGGGTTTGAGCGCTTGAGAAACAGCTCAAAAATTTTGCGACATGTATAAATAGAATACTATAGTTCTCGCCAATTACGTGTAGTGCTAAATACCTTTCAAAAACAATTCATATTGTAAGCTCAAAAATAGGTATGTTTTTATGTCTTTTTGGTGTCAACGTTAAGCATCTGAAGGCACCTCTGAAGAAAGGTGGTCGCCGAATAATCCAGGAATTGGCAGACATGTGGTCTATGATCTCTAAATCATCGAATAAATGGCTTATATAGTCAAAAATTCAAAATTCGAGGGACACATAGCCCACGGACGCGAGACAACGAACACCGCTGCGGCAAAGCCTTGCTACGCCGAGTTTTGCAAAAATTGCATTAAACGGTCGGTGAAAGGAAATGGACAAGTAAATAGTATCAGTAAACGCTTAAATTGTTAGTCAGTTGTTTTTCTTCGTTGTCAAGCTTTTTGAATAAATTTCAACAAAGAATAACGGGAAGACTAAGGAAGAAAAAAGATGTCGAAAATGGAATTTCTGTCACTTCAGATTTTTCGGTTTGTAGTGAAATTTTTTGTTCAAATTTTCAAAAACTGAGGATATAAAGATGGTATTTTGGTAGAGCAAACTTAGAGCTTAAGAACACATACTAATACTATGCCAATTGCTTTGCAGAATACTGAGAAAAAATCAAAACAAAAAATGCGAACGAACTTATTACACAACCTAATATATAAAAATTATGAAATACAAACGGCGCGTGTACCTTCATCTTCTTCTTAGATGGAAGTAGGGAGGGATGAGGTTGCGGATAGTATACAGTAGCAGTGGCCTCCTTTTTTGGTAAATCATGTTAAGTTGCAGACATTACCTGCCAGCCACCCTCTTGCATTAAGAGCAAGAGGAGACATAAGGTCTTTTAGTGGCATATGGCATGGAATAGCAACATTAACATGAGGCTGTACGTATAATAAATAGATATTGCTGCCGGATTTTCGCAACCTTAAGTTGCTAAAGTAGTCCCTTGTTTCATTAGATTGCCGAAACTCATATATGTAACATCAAAGTAGATAACACAAATAGTAGTAATTATATAAGCAGTTAATTAAATAACTTAAACAAATAATACATTGGTAAATAATTTATCAAACAATAATTAATATATGATAGCAATCATTTTTAGATAATTACACGTATATTGTACCATCCCAGAATGGGAAAGTTATAAACACTAACTTTCGCTGTGCTATCCAACATTAAATACAGGAAAAATACATCGAATATTCGGGAGAACCCTGGCGTGGTGTTGGGCACCCACATCCGATGCAGTTTGCATCACGGGTAACGCTCCCCAGCGATGAAGAGGCTAGCCCTAGCCCTGGAGGAAATATACTCCTTCAAGAGGAAACTGCATAAGAGTTCAGGACGGATCGCCTCGAACTCGACGGATCTTAGGTCCACCAAAAATAGTAATTCAGTTCACAAGAATACGTGTTCAATGTTGTCCACGTCTAACAATGACTCTGAAAGCCACCGGTCAAAGATAGTAGATAATTCGAATTCTAGCAATTGTACAGGATCAAGATGTTAGAGAAGAAAATGTCACATATGTGATAAAACTAATTTCGCCATTATAGTCAAAAGTTCTGTAACAAATTACTAACATATAAGTAATTAACCCGAAAACTGTGATTGTGTTGTAAGAAATGTTATTTATATGATAACATGTCTCACATGCAAATTACAGTACATAGGAGAAACAACACAAGCATTGAGGACTAGAATCAACCAGCATCGCAACAGTTTTCGAAAAGGGAATTTAAATACTTTTGTGGTGAAACATTTCCAAATGACAGGACATGATCCAGAACACATAAATATAGACATATTAGATCATGTTGGTGAAAATGATAATGTAAAGAAACTTTTGAGGGATAAAGAATTGCAGTGGATACAATATATTATTACGGCATATCCATTGGGTTTCAATGATCAAATCAAAGGATTTGGTAATATATCAGACAACGTGAATCCACTGGAGAAGAAAGAACATCCATATTTTCGTTGTCCAGTAGAGACCAGAAGATTTAGAGGAAAGAAAAGAAGATCTCGAAAGAAAAATACATGTCTTGATAGAACGGAAGAAATTTTAGAAAATATAAACCATCTACAAAGTCATGAGCTGTTCGTATACTTTGGAACACTTAATAAGCAAGACGTAATAAGGTTGATAGATTTTGCTTTTGCCTCTGATTTTGCGTTGTTACCGTTCGAAAAGAGATTCAAGATATATGCATTGATTGCAACGCCATTTTGGAAACGAAAAGATAGATTAAAAACTACACAAGAAGAATTAGTTATTATAATACCTTATTTAGGTAATGTTTTGGATAGATTCAAGATTTATAAACTCTTTAATGATACAAGAACAATAAGGATTGTAAGTGGACACATTGTACAAGATGAAGAACAAATTAACAATACTAAGATATCATTGCGATACAATTTAAGTAAACCAGTGGGTTTGGAAATGTTCAACTACAACAGCTTCCTCAAAAGACTTAACAACTATAACATGAAACTCATTGAAGAGCAAGAATGTGAGTGTAGTAAATACCGTCGCCGTCAATCCCTAAGTTACATTTGGAAGACGGCATGGATCAGTGCGCCCGCCTCGCATCGGCCTGCGCCACGTTTGCGGGCATGTCGGCTGGGCGCTTTGCCAACAAATTCGATCGATACCGCCCGCTGCATCGGAATTTTCATCCGCTTCCTTCGCAAATTTTCGGGTTTTTCCGCCGATTTCTTTCTCGTTTCTTCATTTGTTCACTTCACTGTTTAGGTAGACCGTCCGTTACGACTCGTGGGATTGATTTGGCGAACAATTACTCAATTTATCAAATGGTGCAGCTGACGGTCATCTGTCCGCCAAACGGGCGGCTATATTTTTTACTGATATTGCATTTGCCGTTCATAATGCTTCTCCATATACTGAAGAATATGGAGAGAACCATGCTGGGTGAGATTTTTTTTTTGTTGGTTGTTTTGATTCAATGCTGCAGAAAGCTAGGTTTTTGTAAAGCTTTTTTAATCGAAGTGAAATTTCTGTTATAACTGCAAAATTCATTTCTTTAGTACTGTCCGACTCTTTGTGTAACATGAAGGAAAAAGCTACGCATGTGATGGAGCAGGTTGGTGTGGTTGTTGTTTTTTTTTGATTACCTCCATTATTGAAATTCACCATTCAACGTTGTACTTTCAGACAGACGCCAGTGCAAGTGCGGTATGCCCGTTTCCAAACAATGACGAATGCAAGTTTCTTCAAAAAAGTCTGAGTGTTTGTGTGTGTTTGTTTGTGATTGTGTGTGTTTGTGTGTGTGTGTGTGTTCGTTTTTGTGTGTATGTTTTTGTGTGGGTGTGTGTGTGTTTGTGTGTGTGTATGTGTTTGTTTGTGTGTGTCTGTGTTCGTGTTTGTGTGTTTTTGTGTGGGTGTGTGTTTTTTTTGTGTGTGTGTCTCTTTGTGTGTGTGTTTGTTTGTGTCTGTGTGTGTGGTGTGTCTATTTATGTGTGTGTTTTTGTGTGTGTATGTCTTAACATTCAGAAATTTTCCAGATAGATGACCACTGGCTGACATCCTCTCGCGTATTCTAAAATAGAAGCATGCTCAGGTAAGAGAGGTATGTAATATGTTGTAAGTTTCGCAAATCTATTGTTCAGGTCAATTCTCTGGTTACTCTTCACATACAACTTGGAGCGAGAAGAAACTACGTCAACTCAGCGAAATCTACAAGTCTTTCATTGTTATTGTATCTGCCTGATGTCCAAGAGCTATTTTTTTCTTCATTGTCTTTACTGGGACGCACATTATGTTCTCACAATTTCTGAAGTATACAGAGGATTTACTCTGTTCAAAATTTAGATCTTGTAAATGAGCATTGTCATTAGTCTTCCTTCTATACCACATGATTGCAGTTTTGAGCCACTGATTTTGTTTGATTGCTCTGGTTTTGTTCTGTTTTATATGTCAGCTATTGTAAGAGCTACTGATTTTGGTTGACTAGAAATAAACACCTATATAAAATCGACTCTACTTCGCCGAATCTTGGTTAGAAAAAAAAATTTGACATAATGACTTTTATTTCCATCTTTCTCAACGAGGATGTCTTGTCGTCTCATTTGAGACTTCAGGCGAAGCACAGAGAATCGCCGTGACTTTGAGATAAGTGGTACAAACACCTGCTATACATTTATCTGAACATATAGTATGGTTGGGAGGGAACAATTTGAAGATTTCCAAGAAGTATAGACGCTTGTAGTCCTTAAGAATGCCCATAGACATTAACAACATTAGAGAGGGCAAAGCAAATGCAACTTTCTATGTGTAACTTATAACGACGTAGACATAGCAAAAACAATTCTGTTGCAGAATTATGAGAATCCGTCTCTTCTTCAATTTGTGCTCCGTCCGCCTACGTCCGGTGGCAGATTTGCTTAAGGATCAAGCATCGTAAACGTATCGTGCAAAAACAGAACACAAGATGCAACTTGAAAGTATTACCAGGAAATTGTCCGTCTTCGCTGTCAACTCTTCTTATTCTGGATGTCAAATTTCTTCAAATTCATACATCTCACAGTCAAATCTACTTCATCAAAATCTCAACCTCCACTCGGTCATTACATCATGTAGCATCTGTCAAAGCTGCAAAAACGTAGCATATGAAGGCGTACAGTCCTATCACATTCTTAACAACAACTGCTGTTACTAACCTAGGGATTACTAACATGCTCTCCTGAATCAGTTCGCACGTTATGGATTACTTCTCTAAGAAAAACTTTCAATCTAAAAAAAAATTCAACGTTATCCAAATCATCAGGAAAGCGCGCAGCTACAATGTGAAAACAAACAAATTAGCTAGAGAAACCAGCTTACCTTCATCGTAACTGAAGATGTTGTCTGAATGAACTTGTTCTCTGTCTATGATATTTTCTTTTGAATGCAACTATCTTGCCAGTAAAGTAACTGGAAAGAAACCAAAATTTTCTTACCTAAACACTACATAATAGCTTTAGTTGATGTATGCACCTGTGCTTGTTTTCCAGTGATAGTAACGACGATATTTTGGCCTCAATTTTGATCCATCGGAGACTTGATTTTTACTGTAATTATAATGTTTCGGCAGAATTTTTTTGATGTCTATGATTCATTCCGTAAATTTACAGGCAAACCGCCATCACTGCATTCAACAACGATCATGGTCAGTTTGTTGTCCGTTTCGATTTGACTCTCTAACCCAAATATTTTCTAGTATCCAATTAAATTGAACATTGCTGATTCTGCGGAAACTCTTGTGAGTTTGATTTTGAAAGCGAAATTTCCATTTCCAATTTCTAATCCTTTTCTACAATAGTTCCCCGTGCAAGTATTGAACGAAGACCAACAAAACACTGTTTTTGAGGTAATCATATACTGCAACATGACCAACTTCTTTTTTCCAAATTTTAGAATCACGATCAAGCTGAAGTTCAACTGCCATTACCGGTATCATGTTATGTATGTTCAATTCAAATATTTACGGCGGACATTGTTTAGCATATTCGCGTCCCGGACATAAGAGCTACCGCGGCACGTCTTCGCCCCAATCCGGTAACCAAGTTCAAATGATCATATGGAGCGAATTCATATCTTTGCAGACTATCCAAGGAATTCCCAACATCAGAGAGACAGCTGCCTACCTGCGCTCTCTTGCAGTAAGTTTTCATAACTACTGCTTTTTCTCACTTTAAATCACGCAGTTCATAGCAAATTTTGGCATTGCGATAAGAACAGTCTAAATACATTATCCCTCCTCTCTACCCTACTGATGAGCCTCGGAGAGGAATTTTATGATCTTGTACACACACATGTCTAGGGTCAAGAGGCGAAACATGTATTTATTCTGGCTATGTCAATTCGATAAAGCTTCACCAACGATTTCTTCAATTTATTTTAAGGACTCCAATCCCCCTCATCAAAGGTCTGACAGTGCAAGAATTGACATTAGGTCAACTGCGCACAGGCTTCGCAACGAGACTGTGGGACAATACCTTAACTTTAATAAGTCGTTTTCAAAACAAGTTTTAAGGTGACAGTGTTCATCCCAGACATTGCCGCAATGGCACAAGAGCTGCGTAACGTGGGCATTTTTATTGATAGAAAACTTTTGATATTAATAGTGCAACCTATTGAGTGTCCCCAAGAAGCAATCCATGAGGTTGAGATAATGGACGAAGAACCAATCCGATCACAATCCGAGGATGAAATAATGAACCACACGCCTTCCCTCGAATTTACAGAAATACAGCAGATCTCTTATGACCCAAATACGGTAAGTGAAGCCAGGTGGTCAATATCGGATACTCTCGGAAACACTCCATACACTTCTGGGGCTTACTCAGCTTCAGTGTTTATATCCAAAAATGAAGGAATTCTTCTATAAAACAATATGATCAACGAGCATCTCAGATTTGCTCCTGGTCTACCGATACATCAATTCTTTACTCAAAGGTGGCCTCAACGCAAGCTCGTAGTTAATCGCGCAAACATGATGATCACTACTAATCATTCTCATGTTACTTGACTATTTAAAGGACTGCTCAGTTACTGGACCTGTACTTCAACTATATTCAGTATTTTTGGCCCTTATATTCTTTGTATATCCAAATTCGCAGACAAAGGTTTGGTAAGTCTTTCTTGCATGTTTCACGACAGCAAATTAGCTGAAAGCTGCTTTGTCTGGGAACCAAAAATGGATTCTCCAGCATTGCGACTTTTAGCTGACCACAAGATGCATGAAAGAGTATGTGCATGTTATAGGTCGCATGCTAGGCAACTGTAACAAGACTAATATTACTAACCATGCTTCCACAAATCAAATGACTGACATAATAAGATAAATGAAAATTTTTTCAGGAATCATCAAATGAGAATCTCGGCGAAAGGAGATGCACTGAATGTGCTCAAATTTTCAAGGAGATTGTCGAGTCGATGGTGTCGGAGAGGATGCGCGAGAATTCGCTCAGAAGGACCCGAACGGTGCTGGGAAGCAATGGGAAGGAGATTGTGAATCGTGTCCACGATTTCATCACTGATTTGAAGAGAAGAGTGAGGGGGACATGCGCGAAGGCGCTATTCAATGCACCTAGAGAAATGACGGCACTTGCCCTGGGCATCTCGCCTATCACAGTAACTCGTATGGACAAACGGCGGAACGCTCCGCAGCCAAGAAGACCTGTCCATAATCGGAAAACGATGATGTTGGCTGCTGTGAGAAGACACGGTCCCGTTTGGGGAGAGCTTGTAAAAGAAGCGATACACCGTAGGCATAGGGAGGAACAGGACCTGACCATGGAGGATCTGCACGAGGAGCTGTCCTTGAGGCACGAGAACTTTACTCTCTCGCTGTCCACCCTACGTAGGCTGGTGCGAGGACTAGGTTTCTCATACAGGAAAAACGATGGCCAGCGTCTTATATTTGAAAGAGCCGATCTGGTCGCGAAAAGAAAAGAATACCTGCGCGCAATTGCATTAGCAAGAGAAAGGGAGGAATATATAGTTTATATGGATGAAACGTGGGTCTTTAGCGGAATGAGCAAGAAAATGGGTTGGAAGGATAATAATATCCCAAGGTTCGCCCCGCAGTCCACGTTCGCGAGGTATTCTTATGGCCGGTCAGCTGGCAAGAATAAAGGAAAACGGGCAATCGTTATTGGAGCCCTAGCTGAAGACGGCGTGATTCCCCAGTGTACAAGGGTGTTTGTAAGTGGAAGGATGACTGATGACGGGGACTACCATAGGGACATGAACCACGCCTTGTACGAGGAGTGGCTGTATGAGTGCCTGCCTAGCATGATTGAAAGGGCAAACGGGAGGCGCGTTTGTCTAGTAATAGACAACGCGCCCTATCACACGCGGCAGCTGGAAAGACTGCCAACATCGTCGTCGACTAAGGCACAAATTCAAGAATACCTTGAACAGAAAGGGATTGAAGTACCCGCGGGGGCCACGAAAGCCATTCTAGTGGAAAAGGTATCAAATCCAATTTCATCAAAAAAAACTCACAGACAAAATTCAGCTCCGGAGCTACGTTAATGCCCAAGGCGGGTATTCCGCATTGAGGAGCTATGCTGCCGAGCGGATTTGCAGTGAGTTGGGGGTGAAGCTTTTACGGCTTCCCCCCTTCCACTGTTTCTTCAATCCAATTGAAGATTGTTGGAGCCAACTGAAAGGGTTCTTGAATAAGTATGGGAAGGTCAATGATGATATTGCCCTGGTATGCGTAAAATTTAGTCTATCAATTATCATTCACGCTTTGGTTTAGAACACAACACTATTAACAGATAAATTGCAGGTAAGGGAGAGGACGATCAGATGGCTTGGCACAGTCTCTGCACCCTTGGCCGGCGCATGGTTCAAAGACGCGCGAACGCAAGAGAGGGATGCCTGGGAGAAGATCATTGCCGACAGAGAAGAAGGATACGATTCTTCTTCTTCTTCTTCGAGCGAATCTTGGTCCGAAAGCGAATATGACTCCGAAGAAATGGAGTTTTCGGATTCATCATAAAGACTATTTTGTGCAGTCTACCTGAAGGGCTGAGGAAATCCACCAAGACTGAGGAAAGACAAAAAATGCGCGTATATTACAGTGTTTCGAACTCATGAAAAGCAGTATGCATCCTTTTAAATACTGGGGATGTGGAAACAACAAGTCCGACTACCAAGCTGCAAGATGGCTCAGTCTTGCAGTAAATACGGGTTTACTTGAGAACGTAAAACAGAAAGTAAAGTCAAAATCAAATCAAATCAAATAACGTAATAAAATAAAATAAAGAAAAATAAATAAACAAAAATGATGGAACTAAAAACTCCTGAAACTGAGCATCACCTTACCAGCAATTCCAGTGGCAAGGATGAAGCAAGGACACAACTGCACGCAGTTGACTTCAGTCACATTACCATGGCAGTGTGTGCCGGATGACAGATATCCAAATCGATCATAAATTGGTGTTATCCCAAAAGAGCCGAACTGCACTGCTTAGGCAATCCAGCACATGCCAATCAACGTCTTCAAACACCTGAACAATCGGCACCTTTGCGATCTGTTGTATACATGACTTTGGTACAAAAATTCATAGTTTCTGGAAGAAGATGACATATACCTACAGCATAATTGAGAACTGCTTCCATAGTCAGATGCACTGTACAACTTAAGAGCGCGAAAAAACGTATCATGCTTTCTTTCATCAAGGAAACGGGAGATCTGGAAGAGTAGACTCATTTAATCCTAGAGAGACTCACAATCGGGTAACCTGCTTTATGAAAGTAGAAAATATCTTCAACGCAAGCCATTGCCACTTGTTTATGTCAACATTCCTTTTCTATATGCTAATATTTGATAATCGCGTGAGAGGCTACAAAACGATTATTGATTTGATGCTTCTCTGTATGTTGAAAGAAAAATTTCTTCAAGTAGACTCACTCTTTTGGTGCTTGTTGCTGCCTTGCTTTAGCTTTTTCTCTGCTCTAGCACCTCTTTCCTGCTCCGAATCAAATACTTCTTCACGAAAGAGATAATCGGTAGCAAAAAATATGACAATCTCCGCTTCAAGTCCACTCGAAAAGTTGAAGAAATGAGAAAAATGTACTCTGAAGTTCAATTTTAGATAGAGACTCACTTCTTTTCAGTCATTATTATCCCATGGTATGTCTGCCCTTCCTCTGAAGCCATGAACGCCGGGAAGAAAATGGCGAAATTCTTCGAGCAGATCTGGTTCTTCACAAAACAAAGCTGTGACTTCGTCTAGCATAACCTTTTCTGTTTGCAGAGTTCGCGCCTGAACCAACAAAAAGTTAATAAATTCAACCACGCAGACTTTTACGAACAAGTACCTGCTGATCTACAGTTCTCTATGTATGCAGAGTGTCGAGGAGTTTTTTGTATACGATAGGCCTATTTACAAATCGGGCCTGAAAAACAAAAACGTTTGCATGAGGGAAAAACTCAACTGATCAAAGACTGCTGCTCACCTTTATACGACCGCTTCATTGACTCAAAATTCATTCATTCATTGATTGAAATCTTTCATGATATCAAGTAAGTGCGTGTAGACATTGGGTTGATCAGCGAATTGGGTCTTTACTTGATCGAGATAAGAAAAGCATACTCAACCTAAACACATTTTGCGATGACCCTACATACGGAGATAACAAGTGCTTAAAGTAAATTACTAAGCACCTTTACTGTGTTTTGATTCATCCCGTTTGCAATTATATCATACTGTTCATAAACATTTGCTCCTGTGATCCACCACAGCTATTGTACATCTGAAATTAAAGTTCACAAGCTTTTCACAATGAGGAATACCCAAACTAATCTCGAACACCGAAAACATCATAAAAGCTCATTAAAAAGGCATATCAATCTATTGCTAGGAACTGAGATATAAAAGCAAAGAGACTGTCTTTTTGAAAAATACTTACTGGGAAAAAGAAACCAGAAATTACTAAGTATACAGTGCAATATGAAAGAAAGGTAGAAAATAAAAAGTGACATCCCACCTTAGCAAAAAAGAATTCCTTATATATTTGCTAGCAACGATTTCAGTCAATAATCACACGCTAAAAGGAAGAATTATCGAACTGCGCTCAATTGAACGAATGAAAATAGCGAGCTGCAATGCACCATTTGATAAATTGAGTAATTGTTCGCCAAATCAATCCCACGAGTCGTAACGGACGGTCTACCTAAACAGTGAAGTGAACAAATGAAGAAACGAGAAAGAAATCGGCGGAAAAACCCGAAAATTTGCGAAGGAAGCGGATGAAAATTCCGATGCAGCGGGCGGTATCGATCGAATTTGTTGGCAAAGCGCCCAGCCGACATGCCCGCAAACGTGGCGCAGGCCGATGCGAGGCGGGCGCACTGATCCATGCCGTCTTCCAAATGTAACTTAGGGATTGACGGCGACGGTACAACGAATTCATTGATGAATATCACAAACATGTTTGCACAGGAAATCTGAATTTTATACGAAACAAGAGGTTAAGATCTATCTTTCAGAAAGGTACTAAGTACAGATCGCATACAATTATCACAAAAGATGATATTCTGAAAGTGATAGATGAAATGGTAATACAGATAGCAACAAAGTACATCAAAAAATTTAAAGTTAACTCTTCTATCAAACTACAACTTGCTAAGGATTTGAAGGAACACTTTATAAAGAAAGTTAAAGCTAAAATGTTCGACTTGTACAATCCAGAACAGATTGAGAACGATGTTATAGACAAGAATGCTCTCAGATTATTACAACGTCATTTCGTCATTGCTCCAATAGATAAAGCTACATCAAATTACAGTTTTACATGCAAAAAATTTTATCTTCAAATGATGAGAAAAGAAATGGAACAGTCAGCTATGGACGGCTCTACATATGTAAGAACTACTCTGCTAGAAAATCAAGTTCAGGAAAAACAGTTAAGACTATTGAATAGTTTGAATATCAAAGATGTAGAAGAGCAGAATGTTATACCTAGAATATATGGTATTCCAAAGATGCACAAGACACCCATTAAGTTCCGGTTTATCACCGGAGCAAAGAGATCTACGCTTAAGCCCCTTTACAAGATACTTCAATTAACGCTTACACATATTAGAAAGCATTTCATAAACTATTGTAAAGTTATTTATCAAAGAACTAGAATAAAACATTTTTGGGCTATAGAAAATAGTAATCAAGTGCTGAAAGAACTGCTGACAGCAAATGAACAATTAGAAATATCTTCAGCCGACTTTTCTAGTTTGTTCACCAATCTGCCACACAACGTGGTCAGATCTAATCTCAAAAAACTTATAAGCTTATGCATGAGAGGATATAAATATATCAGAATATATAACAATAAAGTATCGTATGTTAATGCAGATACGGCACAGGGCAGATGTTATCAACTTGAAGACATAATTTATATAATAGATTCTAAACTGGAGTCTAGCTACCTGTATTTTGGTGGAGTGATATATAAACAAATAAAGGGTATACCTCAGGGAGCTTCGTGTAGCTCACAGATAGCAGACCTTACTCTATCATACATGGAATTTGAGTTCTTAAAAAGACAGACAAGAACTCTGAGTCATAGCACTAACTTGTACAATCACACTTACAGATATATAGATGACATATTACATGTCTCTAAAGATGCTTCCATTTCGAAAGAACTATAAGAGAAATCTATCATCCTTCTTTACAATTAGAAAAAAACTAACCTTAGCTTGACAAAAACAAATTTTCTAGACCTTACCCTCAATATTTCCAATAATAAAATTGAGTTTAATATGTATAATAAGACAGATGACTATAATTTCAAAGTATTTAGATATCCACATTGGGAGTCTAGTATTCCCAGATATATATTGTACAATACTTGCACTTTAGAAATTTTTAGAATGTATAGAAATTGCTCTAATTATGCACATTTTAAGGAAAGAGTAATAGAACTCGCTAAGACTTTAAAAACTGATGGGAATATCGTATTTTTATTAGTAAACTTTATCTATACTATTCGATAGACCATTTATAATGCGTAAGTACGGAGTTCCTAGTAACATACATTTGCCTCTTTTACATGACCTACATGACACTTGGGCTCACGCTAGCGCGCTCTGAGGTCACGCCGGGAGTACTCCAATTTGAAAAAAAGGTCGCTATTTCCTCGGATGACACTTGCCATTTATTTTGTCGTATACGTACATGTTAACGACTTGCACCTTCTTTACTCAAGTTCTTTATACGCCATTTTCTGTTTTAGATCTTATCTTAGATTTTTATTTGATAATTTTGAAGCTTCCTTGGGAACTACTGACGAGGGGCACCAAGAAAGCCGCACTACCAGTGTAGTTCTAAGCCCTGAAACCGGATAGTGTAGAAAATGAACAAAAACGAATTGAATTTCTTGCGTTCCTAATTAGTATTTATCAAATTCTTTTTCATATTAAAAACCACAAAACAAGTTGTTATCAGTAAAGAATGAACTCCAGTCGCTTGCATTCAAGTAATTAGCATCAACACATCTTTCATTTCTTCTTTATGTTTATTTGTGGGCTATGCTTACATATTTCGAAAGCCTCCCTGATTTTCCTATCTAAGGTATTTTTCAAGTTCCGATGTAGAATAGTCACTCTCAAAGACAGTGCTTTCTACATGGCATGTTTGAGCGTCCGATGCCATGGAAAACTTTCTCGGATAGGAGGCAGGATTGAGTAACGCTCTTCTGTGCTCATCTAATCTCAACTTCAAAGGTCTTCCGCTCTTCTGCTCTTTCCTATATACTTTTCGCCGCATCCTTGGCATTCAATCATATAGACTGTTCCTCGTGAAGAACAGATTTTCCCCATTTTCGTCGAGGATGGTGTTAATGGTAAAGTCTATTTGATTATTTGGAGATGAGCATAGTTTTCCTTCGTTTGTAGAAAATTTGGGATCACATTAGCTTCTATGTATTGTGGATGGGCGCTACGTGAATGTAATATGATGTTACATTACGAAAAAAAACCAGAATCCAGCATGAAGCTCATAGATAACACTATACTAAAAGATGAATGCGTTCAATGTATATCCGAAAAAGGATTTTGCTCCAACCGTCCAGCGTATGCAAGAATTGTGGCTATTGTAAAGGTAGTGGCCAGGCTTTGCTCGAAAGGGCACAGCGCTTAAAGACAGTGTCTCACCCGAATTTGAATCATCTTTGCAAATTACAAACCTTCCTGACCTTGTGTACCTCTACAAGGGCTCAATTCCACTTTCAAATCCTACTCCATCTCAAATCCATCAATCCTCCAATCCAGCTCACTCATCAGGAACATTACCACATCTTGCTACCTCAACGAAGCCTTGTCTCTCATCTAATGTGCAGATTTTACCCGCTCAATAAAACCTTCTGTAGTAGTTAGATAGTAGATGTTTACTCTGCCACTCTTAATCGGAATCTTGCTATCCTCTAAGATAATTCTTCAGTGGTGTCAGGTCTACCAACTACTACAGAAGTGTAGTAGTTGTTTTCTGTAGTAGTTGGTAGATGTTTAATTCCTGGTGCGCTTCGAGGTATTTATGAAATAAAATAAAATGAAATAAAAATCCGCTTATAAATCCCAAAAACACCGTTGGCCGGCAAAACGCGGACAAGCTATCCCAATCTACCCTAGCCCCTGGCTCTATCCGCAGGATCAGACATGTCAAGACGGAAAGCGTGGCTTACAAAGACTTGATCAGACGAGATAGAGAAACCGGCAAGTTGTCCTTCGCGAGCCGAAAAACGCTCCGCGCGCTACCTTAAAGGCAGCGTCCACCCAGAATTTGGCCTCCCATGTTTTCGTCATTCTGAGGCCTTTCCGTGGCCCTGATTACAGTTCCGAACTTCAAACTTTCCAAGATTCACAAAAAAACCGATTCTTGGGGACCCTCTCTTGAGGGCGCGGACGAGTTTCAGATCGCTCGTCCCCGTCGGCATGCCAGCGGGGAGGAGCTGCAACTCCATGGGTGCAGTTGCAGCAGTGTACAGCTTCAGCTCACTACCACGTTAATACGTGTCGGGAGGCATCCCTGGCTGGGCGGAGTCTGATATCAGACTCCGCCCAGCCAGGAACTTCCAGGCCCCTTATCTCCATTCAGAGACAACATTAGAAGACCGGACCAACGCCGATGCCCCTTTTCTGAGACCTACATTCAGGATCGACACTAATCGGAGGGGGTTAGGTTTAGCCTGGACACTGCCTTTAAGCTACATTTTCTCAAAGTATGAGAAACTTTATTGAACTGGACTTGGGCACTGGCCTGATATGGGGGTCCCCTAGTGAAATCTGTCAAGATTTGCAATACCTCGAAATTGGTCAGACACTGCCTCCAGAACGCTTCAAAGCCCTCAGAAGCGCGAAAAGCGCCCAAAAGCGCCGGAATGCCATTTTTCACAAGCACAGTATCTGACGATTGCTAAATCTTAAACTCTTTGTCTGTCGAAACTTCAAATGAGAAGCATGAACGTCAGACGTATTAACTAACATGAATCATGAATTAAATAATAACGGGCTAAGAGTTGCTTACGTCTGTTTGCCTGTCTGAATTTCTGTACGAAATTCAGAAGGCGAGTTACAGCCAAGCTTTTGCGCTAGAATGTCGGTCATGACGCTCAATCAACATGCATGCAAACTGTGTAAAATAAGCCGATCTGATGAGTGAACCTTCGGAAACTGTGCATCAAACGGATCCACGCGACCTTTGGCCTCCCAACCAATAAAGTGACAAACCAAAGACTTTAGTCTAAAAAGTGAGCAAAAAGTCTATTTTTAAGCAAAAATAACCCTAGAAAGGAAGAGTTGCGTAGGTGGTAATTTTGCACTTTTTCACTTGAGAATTTATGAAGCTTTTGCTGAGGAATGTAACTCACGGTGGCCATTGTCTTTGCAATTATGAAACCGTACTAACTTCAGTAACTGATTTGCACTCGCATATAATCTTTTGCAGGATACTTTCTTTTTCCATGCTTACCGATCTACATGGCAAAACTTTGAGAATGAGTAGTTGTTTATAGTCCATTCATGGTGGTCAGCGCTGTGTGAGGTTAAGAAACATTATCAAGGGAGCACGAGAAAAGAGGTTAGATAGTAGAACCAGTGTGTCAGATATTGTTTGAGTGTAACTACTGACGCGCCACTAGCCCATTGCAATGATTTGATCTTTGGTGAAATGTTTCATCTTATTGTTAGAAGACTGAAATCAAATTTTGCAATGCCTTACTTTACATGTCCCAAAAATTCCATGTCGCTCAACTAATGTATGTAAAATACGAGTTACTGCTATTATGCGGGTCTATGTTAATAAAGAACTTTTTACATACATAGAATTTACTTGAGTTAGCAAAGATTTTTTATTGGTAAACCCTTTGATTTTGGTGTTAAAAGCTGAGGGTCCGGCGAAGCCGGACAATCAGACTGG